TGGATCATCGAACTTTGCTGCAGAATACCTGTTTCCCAAGGCTATAATCTCCATACCACCCATTGGTTTCCACATGGTGTGAAGTCGGTTTACCAAGTAATAATGGTTCACAGATCCACCATATGGCTTCACAATGAGAGCATTCTTCCAAACACGACAGCCATCAATATGTAATTCTTCAGTGATCTGCAGTCTTGGTTTGAGCCTGTCTCCATCTTCGAACTCAATACTCACTTGATTCAATACTGTCTTGTCTAGTGTGAACACGGATGATGATAAGGAGGGTGAAACTTCACGACAGCCAATGAGTCTATCTCTAACGGGATAAGATCAGGTGGCTAAGGGGGGTCCCTTAGTCACTTGCCTAGGTCGATCTCAGCCATTGCACCTCATTTAACTCTAATGGTTCTAAGTAATTTAATTTAATGAAGGATAATATGGTAATTACATGGTTTATTTAATTTTTAATTATTAAATAATTCTAAAAAATCCTTCTCCCTTCCGACGTTCTGCGCGCGTCCTTTCCCGGTGGAAAGCTTAGTCGGCGGACCTTCCCAGCGGCGACAAATCTCTGGCGTCCCTGCGTCCCTTTCCGGCGGACCTTCCTGGTGCCCGCACATATTCCCTCTGACGGTTTACTTTTGCTCTCGCCGGTGTTGGGAATAATCCCATCGGCCACTTTTATTACTATTTGCTCTTGCCGGTGCTGCCAGCCATTTTTATTCCTTGCTGGGTAATTTTCCCCCAACCCCCCAATTGCGAACGAGAGAGAGAGAGAGAGAGAGAGATAGATTTCCGGTGGAGGAGACTTTTCGGCGACGACAGAGAAGGATTTTTCGTCGACAGTGCTAGATTTGTGATGTTTGTTGACATATTTTATAATGTTTGTAAGTCTGGTTTGTAATGTTTGTATCGATTCGTTTTGTATTGTTTATCATTCTTGTTTGTCATTTTTAGTGACATTTTGTACGGTTAGAATGCTTTGTATTGTTTGTCGATTTATTTTGTAATGTTAGTACGCTTTGTTATTTTGTAATGTTTGTCTGGTTTTTGTATAATGTTTGTAAGCTTTGTTATTGTTGATGCCAGGGTTGTAGCAGACGTCGAGTTTTTTTATGTTGGGCACCGGAGTCGGTCGACGACCACCTTTCTCCTCGAACTTCACTTGTGATGTCGGCTCCGGTCGTCTCCTGCAAAAAGGGTCCGCCGGCCGATCTCGGCGGGGACACTCTCCGACGCTCAAGATAGTGAGTGGGATGAGTGGAGAGGAATACGAACTCAAAAAGAAAGATGAAGGGATGGAGTAGAAAATGAACATCTATGCTAATCATAGCGCGAGTTCACGGGTTTAGGCATGGGGATTTCTACTTACCTCAATCCGGAGACGAAGTGGCCTTTTATAGAGGCCCCCAGGCGAACATGAAGGGAGTACACACTCCTTCGAGAGCTTGGTGGTTTGGTGGAAGGACACGTTGCGGGGGTATGTGGCTAAAGGTTGAGGTGACCTGGGGTGGGCGGAGAGCCCAAGGTAACCGAGGTGACCTGGGGTAGTTGACCATGGGGTGGCCGGAGTGACCCCAAGGTGACCCAAGGTATTTGATCCCGGGGTGGCCGAAGTGACCCCAAGGTGACCCAAGGTATTTGACCCTGGGGTGCCCGGAGTGACCCCAAGGTTACCCAAGGTATTTGACCCGGGTGACCGGAGTGACCCCGGGTGGGCTAGGTGACCCAAGGTATTTGACCCCAGGGTGGCTGGAGTGACCCCAAGGTGACCCAAGGTATTTGAACCTGGGTGGTCGGAGTGACCCCAAGGTGACCTGATAAGGTCTTGAGCTCGTGAAAGCCTAGGTTCTTTTATCAAAATTGCGCAGCAATAACTCAAGCTCAGATAACTCAAATCGATCTTCAAATAAACATAAAATTAAAGAGATACATTGGGATAGATCGCCACAATCAAGTGTGATCGCTTGATTGATAAGAGTCTTGCTAAGCTCTTCTGGAATCTTCAACAGAAAAAAACTCAAACAAGGGTCTTGCCCTAGATATGGAATCCACCAATAGCTAAAAACAATGAACCATAAGCACGACGGCTCCATGGGGGAAAAACACCTCGATGTAAAATTCTTATTCAACCAAGTCTGCCTTCACACAGGCAATTCCTCCTCTATTTATAGAGGTTACAAACAACGTATCTACCCTTATTTAAAGCTTAAGAATCCTCTCTATCAAATAAGGAATGCAAATACCAAAAGGGAAAGGAAATAAACTAATGATCCACCCAAAAGGGAAAGGAAATAAAGCAAGGATCCACCCAAAAGGGAAAGGAAATAAAGCAAGAATCTGCCAAGAACCCGCCAAAAGCAATGGCTTAGTCCTCAAGTAATTCCTTTCTTCCTTCTGCTGCGGGAATCACATCATTCCCTCCCTGTTGAAGAAGCTTTGTCCACAAAGCTTTCCATCCTGGCTTCCAAATGAAATTCCATGTATAATCTTCACCAAGGAATAACAAACAGTCTCCACAATTCCACGGAAGCAAAAGCTCAAACAACTGATCAAACATGGGCTTTAGTCTATGATCTGTGAAGTGCAAGTCGTCCTTCAATCTACCTTCTTTGGATTTCGCACACAGTAGCTCCAGAATCCAGCTCTGTGTCTTGATCTTCATCGACGGTATTGATGGCTTCAAAACTTGTAAGCTTCTGCAAGAGAGATCATCATCATAATAATCACAAAAAGGATTGCGATATATCATCTACTCTTTCTCCACCGCAACTGTCTCGCAGAAATCCTCTTCCTCCTTCTGCTGTTCTGAAGTGCTTGATGTTGGAGAAACCACGCCGTTGCCTTCAAGGAAATTGTAAGAATCGATGGCCTCCTTCGGCTCGTCCTCTACCTCAATGTCTACTTCTTCAGAACTCGAACGCTGCTGCACCGGAGAACTCGATCTTAATCTCAGCTCAGCCATGGTTTTGAGCATATATAGCTTCCACCCGAGTCATCTGTGCTGCAAGCTGTGTCAAGGCTTCTTCCTCGTACTCTCGTTGTAATCGTTGCAAAACCTTCCACTCATCAATAGCTTCCTCCGGGGATAAAGGTTTCAAAACGAATACCTTGTTATGATGCCGCAATCGGAAGCTTTTGGACCTTCTACTGACCAGATGAACTCCACGATCTTGGAACCAGGTTTGTCCCACCACAATCTGATTTGTAAGCTTTGACACCACGTCGCACAAAATCGTGTCTTCATATCTTCCAATCGAAAACTTCACAGAAACCTGTCCAACCACAATGCTGGAAATTTTCTCTCCAGGAAATTGTAGTATGTATGGAGATGGATGTAAACGCATTGACAGCCCCAATTTTGTCACTATTCTTGAGTTGATTAAATTTGATTTGACCCCTCCATCTATAAGCACATAATACACCTTCTCTTGAACCAAACAGCGAGTGTAGAACAGATTACCTTGCTCTGCCGTTTCTACCATTGTTAGGTCTTCTTCTTTGTCCACTGATTTGAACCGGGCTCTGATACCACTTGATAAGATCCCGAGCTCGTGAAAGCCTAGGTTCTTTTATCAAAATTGCGCAGCAATAACTCAAGCTCATATAACTCAAATCGATCTTCAAATAAACATAAAATTAAAGAGATACATGGGGATAAATACTCGCCACAATCAAGTGTGATCGCTTGATTGATAAGAGTCTTAGGTCCACCTATTATTTTTGTGGACCATATTTATCATTTTTGCCAACCATGTTTGTAATGTCTAGAAAACAACATGGTTGACTTTTGGATGAAACTGTTCTATATAGGGATGGATCCTCAAAGTCAACCTGGGTATTTTTTCCAGTTCGTATGGTTTGTCGGTCTAGTTTGTCATTTTTGTCCACCATGTTTGTAATGTTTGTACGTCTTAGAAACAACCGGGTTTGTATTGTTTGTCTCTCTAGTTTGTATTGTTTGTACAGTTCAGACGTTTGTAATGTTTGTAAATCTGTTTGTATGTTTTGTATTTGTAGTTTGTACTATTTGTATGGTTTGTACTGATTGTAAATCCGGTTTGTATACTTCATAATTGTAAATAATACCCAAACCACCCCTGTCATTAGGGATGACAATTACCCACCCATGGGTAATTATACTTAAACCCAAGTAGATCCCTTCATAATGGGTTGGGTATGGGTGAAGTGTATATGGGTTTGAGGGTTTGTAAATGGGTTTGGGTAAGGTATGACTATTGTTTCCATAATCTAAATGGGTATGGGTTGGATATGATAGATATCCATTTATTTGATGGTGTTTTAACTGCACATGCAAAAATTGGACCTATTTATAAAACTTGAAAAATTTTGGTACCAAAATGTAAGATAAAAAATATTTAGGTACCAAAATATAATTTTCCATCGATATTTTGAGGACTTATATGCAAAAAAAATTAAATTTAGTTACTAAATATGCAGATCTATTAAGTTTAGGTACCAAACTGTAATTTGTATTTGGGCATGGATGCAAACCCAAATCCATTTGTTATAAACCCAACCCAACCCAAGTAAATGGGTATGGGTACAAACCCATCAAAGTCTATCAATATCCATCTATCTGGATTTCATACCAACCCAATTGGGTTGAATAGTAAAAAACCCATGATATGGGCAAAATTGGCATACGTAGCTGCCATTAATTAAATAGTGCTTCACACTTTTTAACTATTAGATTGTTTTAGCCCGATATAAGAGTCGAAAAGGGGTTAGTCAGGTGACTAAACACGCAATTAGTAACAGTATCCGAACCCATCTTCTCTAATTATCACCATACAGTTTGCATGGGTGCTCTGCTCGACAGTTAACACCCAACTCCTCTACACAATGGGACAAATATTACATATTGACATTCAAACCACTTATCATGGGCCGAGCTCGGCCCAATATGGGGTATCAAAGCGATACGGTCGACCCGCCCAATAAATAAAGTGAAATCCATTTCTGCAAGAACCACTCACCAAACTTGATCCCAGTTTCCAAAATGTCGGCAACAGCCGCCATTCCCGGCGGAAAATCCTTCTCGCCGCCGTCAGGTTACAACCTCGAGTTCCGCTCTCTCGCTGACGATGCGTGGTACGCCGCCCGCGCCATCCTCAGTGGCAAGAAGCTCGCGGTGAAGTACGACGACCTGGACTTCGTCTTCGAGCCGCATAGGTTTTCCGATCTCGACGAACTACGCGACTACGAATCTCGATTCCGATCCGTCTCCAGGCGACTCCAGGATTCCGAGTGCAAGAAGCTCTGCAAGAAAAAGGCCGTCTGCGTCTCCCACTCCTTCCACGAAAACGACAACCGCTTTTACGACGCCACCGTCGACGATGTCGGTACAAAATTGTCGTATCCTGCGATGAAGTTTGCTCTTCAAAATTTCCTTCAAAAACGTCTACAATTCAGCCTATATTGCTCTTTGACGGCGGAATTTTGGTTTTGTTGTCCTCTTTAGGTTATTGAGAGAGAGCATTCGTTTTCCAGCGGAAAGGAAGTCTGCAAGTGTGTGTTTGCAGTTGTTTGGCAAAAGGGACCATGGAACGGCTACGTATGGCATAAAAGCATAGAGGACATCCGCATTGTTGAGTCTGGTTCAGAGCTTGATCCTGATGTAACCCGTTTCTTCAACATGGCAAGAAAGGAGATTGCTGCTTCCGGTTCTGCTTCTAAGGTAAGCTTCTTCTTCCCATTGTACAATCAATTGTTGAACTTGACATAGTGGATTTGACGATTGAATGATGTTGAACCTTCCTATTCATAGGCAAAAAATGGAGTTGACGATCATCAGCCCGCTAATGGAACTCGGTCCGTGGAAGAAGGTTAGTGTTTGATTGAACAACAACATTGTATGTATGCAATCTTAGAGATACTATCACTGATTTGAGATTCTCTTTACATAAGATGATTGGGAAGATGCTGATTTCGGACGGCGCAATGATCGATATGCTCTTCTGGTTGACAATCTGGAAAAGGACATATCTTCTTCTACATTAAAGCAGTTTATACACCAAGAAACTTCTCTCGGAGTTGAAGTTCATGTTTCATCAAGGCTCTTTCCTGAAACACTCAACAAGGCAGTCATTGTGGTGGAATCTGAGCAGCAGTTGGATGAGCTATACAAGTTTCTGGATTGTCCAGCTCAAATTGTTGTCACCCGGACAGGAAGGTATCAAGCATGGTTTTATGTCTGAAAAGTATTGACTTCCTCGGTTCGAATAGGATACTCAGATAATTTGGATTCCTTAAACGTCAACATAAATGTCCAATGGTAACAACAAATAGATTTTTTCTTTGGTTAGATAAGTGTACCTATGTTTGGAGGTTTACTGCATTCTTTCATTTAGTTACAAATACAACATGGAGTTCTCCATTAATGTTATCGGCACTAGGTTTAGCCCTAATTGCTTGATAGGAATTCAAAACTTCAAGAGAAAGTAATTCTATTACTTCACTAACTCCTTGATAAACCTTCAGCAAAGTTGTATGGTGATGGTTGCTGGTACTCGTAACATAATTTTATGAATATGGCCACTTCTTAAGTTAGAAGCATATGCTTTCTCTTTCTCCGTTTGTGCTGCATTTCCAGGCCCTTGGTGGTCACAGAGAAAAAGTTTGAATTCGATACATTGGCGATGATGCGAATGGAGGGACTGATTGATATGGGTCGCGGAAGCTACATGCAGGTTCGTGTTTAGTGAGTAACAAGAATGGATTTCATACTATTCTATTTTTAATCATGTTGGGAATTTTACAATAATAGCAGGGTGGAGGTATTGGGGTGAAACACGGATTGAAGGTTGTGAGAAAGGGATCAGTTGAGTTTGAAGAAGCTAAGGAAATGAAAGATTTGTTTGTGGAGTTTTCGCATCATCAGAGAGGTTTGTTGAAGAAACAAGTTGAGAAGGAGAAGGAGATTATGGAAGCAGGGAACGCTTGAATGTCCAGTTGTGATGCAGCTGTTGGAAAGTTTTGGAAAGTACTGGCAGGGAACTAGTTATACTTTCGGGTTGAAGAGTTAGACCAGACGAACTCTGCCCTTTTTTTGTACATCTTGATGTAAATGGGTGATGTATAATTCTAATTGGTGTTACTCTGATAGCACGTATGCGGAGTGCTGTTAATAGTTTCTGCTAACTGCTAATGAAACCATGAAGACTCCAGTGCGTTTCATGGATATTCAAGAATTAGTACTCATTCATTAACTATCGACTATAGTTAACTACCAGCCTAGTTACCCAAGGCTTCGGTCGCATCGGCGACAAAATGAATGGGAGCTGCAACAGTTAGCTTTCGAGTTGGGTCCTCATAGCGCTTTTTTTTTCTTCTTTCTTTGCCATAGTGGGTCCTCACAGCTTAGAATTGTAATAACTCCATTCATGCATCTGACGTGGGGAGTTGGAGTTTTAATTAGGAGGGGCATGGTGAGATGGTGATGGTAGTCTAATAGCAGGAAAACTGACTAAAGGGGATTGTAGGGTGTTAGTAGAAAAAATTACAAAGAGAATTGCTGGATGGAAGCCAAAATTGCTTAGTTATGCAGGGAAGTTACAGCTCATAAACTCAGTGTTGAGTAGTCTGTCCTTTTACTGGATGAATGTGTTTCTTTTGCCAATGTCAGTCATTAAGGAAATTGAGCAGCTATGTAGTAAGTTTCTCTGGGGTATAACTGATGAGTCCATGAGGAAAAAGGCTGTGATGGCCTGGGATTTGTTGGCAGTACCAAAGAAAGAAGGGGGGTTAGGTATTAGATGCCTCAATACTTGGAATGTGGCTTGTACAACAAGGCACATATGGAGTTTGCTAGCAAAGGAAGGATCATGGTGGGTTGCTTGGACATATATGTATAGGATCAAGAATCTAACTCTCTGGGAGTTGGGGAAATGCAGCACTGCCTCCTGGATCTGGAAACGACTATTAAAGGTCAGGGATAAAGTGGAAACATTTTTTAGATGCTGGGGTACACAAGTGTTTTGGAAGGATAAGAGAATGATCACTTATTCTGTGAAACAGGTGTGGCAAGACCTGCAACCAGTTAGACCTCGAGTGTACTGGTATCAGCTGGTTTGGGAAAAATATTTGATTCCAAAGCATAGCTTCCTTAGCTGGATTATTACTCGAAACTGAATTACAACTCTTACACAGTTGCAGAGTTGGGGGAAAGTAGCCAGTGCAACCTGTCTATTCTGTTTATCTCAAGCAGAGGATAGGGACCATCTGTTTTTTAGCTGCCTTTACACGTATCAGGTTCTAAAAAACTGTATGCTGATGCTTAATCTAATAAGTCCTCAGTTGAATGGCTATGAGGATTACTTGCAGTGGGCTGTACAAACTTTCAAGGGGAGGAAGGCTTTGGCAATGGTTGGAAGACTGGTTTGGAATCTGGTTGTGAGCTTGATCTGGAGGGAACGCTGTGGTAGAGTACATGGGGCTTCACCTATGCAGCCTATGGAGTTGGTTAGGACAGTACGCAGGAATATTGAGTTGGCAAGATGTGGAAATGCTGCTTTGGATACAGATTGCAGAGCAGTTCTTAGTCAGTAGGTTAGGTTAGGGTTCTTGATTGTTATGTATATGTAGAGTTAGTAGCAGTAGTAGCAGTGAACATGCTGTGATTTGTAATGGTCCAGATGTGGTTCTCCTATTTCACAGGGAACACATAGAGCTTCAATAAAATTTTTTGATATTGCCCATAAAAAAAAAAAAACCAATCTTCTCACATCCGCCCATAGAAGTAACCAATCTTCTCCCATCCGCCCATAGAAGTAACCATCAAGTCATCCATCTCACTCTATGTACTTCCTACCACTACTAACCCTCCAGACCAACACTTGTTCCCATCATCATCAAGCTCACTCCCTTTTTCCGTCCGCCAACCTTTAGCTCATTGTCGTCGTCATTGTCATCACCGGAGGAGGAAGGTGCGACGCATAGCTACCAACTTCGTAATTCCCATTCTCTCTCGACCAGTAGGTAAGCAAAACGAATCCCCTGGTCCATTCAAGCTTCAAGGTTACATAACTAACAAACAAATGGTCTTTCTACGACCTAGCTTCAGCGGCAAAAGAGCGGGGTGACCAAACGATGATCCAAACAAGGAACTAAGGTCCGAGAGCTTCCAACCTAGGCCTAGACTCGTATTAGAGGTAAGGAAGCTCAATCCCTCGTGCTAAAAGCACCATTATGTGAGTTATTCGACTTTGTAGAAATATTGGAACTTACCGATGGAATTACAGGTCTTTGGCAACGGTTATGTGACCGTGGCTAAAGGCCAGTCAGTGAATAGTACAACCAGACCTTTGAGATAGCTAATAATGATATTCGTGAAGGACTCAATATCCGTCACTAAAAGAGTTGTAGGTTAATAAGTATGAATTATGTATATTTTAGTTAGTCGTTGATTAAATAGGTATCGTAGTAGTGTATGGACTAACATGTTAAATACTAACTAGAAGTTGATAAAATGGTTTAGTTGAGTTAATTAAGTACTTGATCCAATAACATGATTAAAAAGGCTAGATAATATGATACATGAAATAATCTTGGTGATTATGAGATGTACATTGTCTTTATCAATTAATGATTTGTGTAATTACTTGATTAATTAGTAAATTAGTTAACACGCGAGATATTTTGGGTGAATTGATAAATGGAATTATTATGTCAATAAAGCATTCTAGTTATAACCGACTCACTATTTGGCTAAAGACAAGAGTTTAATTCCTTAATTGATAGCTCTTTCTCTCATAAACAGTAATGGAATAAGTTAAGTGGTGGAGTAGTGGATGTACTAGTTGATTCAATTGATTAATATACACTAGAACATAACTTTTGAATAACCACATAAGATATTAGCACGATTAGTTTTTCAATATTTAAATTAACTAAGGCCGCAAGGGTACTAGATTTAAAGAATTATGATCCTAGTGTGATAATTAATTGGTACATTAGTATATCATACTTTGCACATCTTGCAAAGTAGTCCCAAGTCGAGAAAACCGTCACTAAGAACTCGAAACGAAACCGATCTAACTTCGGTTTTCGCCATAGGATCAAGAGGCGAATCACTCAAGAAATGGGCACCAATCTTCAAGTTGTAAGCATCTTGAGTTAATAAGGTGCATGGTTTAAGGGGGCTAGTTAGTATTCCATTCAGAATTATTTATTACGCATGTTATTCGAGTTAATCGATATGCCTTATACGATATTTATGTGTCGAGTTATGCGTTTATGAAATTCATATTCAAGTTTATAAGCAAGTAAGAACATGTTTTAAATAACGAACAAGGGCTTGGTCTAGTGGAAATACCACTAGCCTAGAACCTGGAGGTCCCAGGTTCGAATCCCTTAAGTAGTACCTTAATAACAACAAAATAAAACCTATATCACCATTATCAAAAAAAAAAAAAAAAGAACATGTTTTAAATCTCACTTAGCTAGCCGCATGTGCGCGGTCACCTCATGTTATGATTAAGGAGGTTACGAACCCTACTCCTGGGTAATAAGGAGGTTACGAACTCTAGTCCTGGGTAATACGATCATGTTTAAGTATTTCGGTGATCGTGATGGCGTGCTGGTTAAGTTGAGCTCGGGGCCCCCTTTTCGTAAAGAATAGGGATGGCAGGCCGGGGCCCAATTCCGGGTATCCGCCCGAAGCCCGCCCGACAAGGGCCCATGCGGTTGGTGATCTCGGGCCCGTCAACGGGTGGCGGGTAACCCGAAGCCCGTCAACCATGGTTTTCGGGTGGTGATGGTTAGACCAGTATCCGCCCCGCGCCCGGCCCCGCGACCCGCCCGACGGATTAACCGTGAAGAAACGACGGCGTTTGGAGGGCGTATATAAACTCTGCTTATGAGTGGAGAAACCCTAGCAGCCGTCTCATTTCCCATTCTCCCCCAAATCGAACAGAAACCCTAGTTTCCTTCTTCTCTCTGCCTCCTCTCTGGCGATTAGCGATCAGATCGCTAGATAATCGCGATCTGGCCGATTTTTCGTCATTTCCCCTCATCAAATCATCCATTCGACCAATTGCATGGCTCAAAGAGCAATCATCCGACGAAGATTTCGTCGGCCGCAGTCCAAAAACGAGTCGTTGCCTCGTTGGAAGTCCGAATCGCTGATTCTTCGAGTTCGAGAAAAGATAAGTTTCTTTCTGGGTTTCTTATCTTTTCTTTTCTTTCAAATTTCTTCCCTGATTCCCCGTTCCCCTAACTCTCTACTGACTCTTCTTCTACTTGTATATATAGGGGGGATTCAGAGGTCGTTTCTCAGTTCTCACCACGCCATCTTCTGAGTTCTCAAATCGAGAACAAGAACACCCCAGTCGAGTCAACAGAGAGCAGAGACCGAGGGATTTAGCCGAGCGCCCGAGCATCCAGACAGTCCAGTCATCGAGGTCGAGGGTAAGTTTCTAGATCTCGTCTAAGTTTCATAATACATACATGCATGCATGAAATTCCAGTTCTAACTTGGTTTGTGTTTTATTTGTTCACTGACTCGTCTTGTTCACTCTGTTTGGGCTAGGTTGGTCTCCTTTGCAACTTTGGATCGAGTTTACTGGTTTAGAGAACTGAAGCAGACAGAGTCCAGTCGTCGAGGGTAAGTTTCTTGATCTTGTCTAGGGTTAGTGGTCTCATAATACATACATGCATGCATTAAATTCCAGTTCTAACTTGGTTTGTGTTTTATTTGTTCACTGACTCTTCTTGTTCACTCTTGTTTGGGCTAGGTTGGTCTCGTTTGGATCCAGATCGGGTTTACTGGTTTGGAGAACTGAAGCAGAACAGAGTCAGTGAGCAGTTAGGAGCGGTCTACTGTCATTGGGTACTCGACAGTCCACATAAAACTCCAATCCGAGAAGGTAATCCCAGTTATCTCCTAAGCCTCACCTCACTGTGTTTGACTGTTTGACTGTTTGTTAATAATGCTGCGACTTGTTGTAACAAACAGTGGATTCACCGAGCTAATAAGTAAAATTAATGAAACTGTAAGCGTGATTTTGCTGCTAGAGATGTTTGTTTGCAAGGCTTAATGACTTAATGTTAATAACTAAGTTAATAACTATTAACTAAGGCTTAATGTTCAGATCATCTAAACATTAAGACTTAGTATAAATTTAAATCATGTAACTAAGTTAATGACTATTAAGTATTAACTAAGGCTTAATATATATTATGTCAAATGGAAGGTGCTCCTGCTATAAATGTTGACCTTGCTCCCAATGTGGATGCCCCTGAAAATGGTGTCCAAGTCCAACCTCAACCTGAACAACCTGTCCAACCTCAACCTGAACAACCTGGTAATGTTGAGGAGCTTGAAGCTCAACGTAAATTAACCTCTGATGTGTGGCCTCACTTTAACCGAGTTAGGGTTAATGGGGTTATGAAGGCTAGGTGTAAGTACTGTCGTAAATCCCTTGGTGGGGAAACAAGTAATGGAACTTCACACCTAAGAACCCATATCAAAACATGTATCCAAAAGAGGATACATGATGGTTCTCAAAATACTTGGGCCTAACTATAAACCTGCTGGAAATCCCCAACTCTCTGCTTCTCAGTACAATTATGAGGTTTCTAGGAAGGAACTTTGCTCAATGATTCTGGTCCATGAGTACCCCCTTAGCCTTGTTGATCATGTGGGTTTCAAACGTTTTTGCTGTTCTCTTCAACCTCAGTTCAATGTTCCTAGTAGAAACACTGTCAAAAAGGACATTTTGAGTTTGTATGGTGTTGAAAGGGGTAAATATCAGACAATTATTGATGGTAACCTGGGGAGGGTTGCAATTACAACTGATTTGTGGACTGCCAGAAATCAGAAAAGGGGTTATATGGCAGTAACTGGTCACTTCATTGATAACTCTTGGAAACTCCGTAACATAATGATGAGATTTATGTATGTTCCAGCCCCTCACACCAGTGAAAGGCTTGCTGATAGGTTGTTTGACTGCCTTTTGGATTGGAACATTGATGGTAAGTTGTCCTCAATCACATTGGACAACTGTACCACCAATGATTCCATGATTTTCCACATGAGAACTAAGCTTCTGAGCAGTGACTTGTTGCTTGATGGTAAATTGGTTCATATGAGGTGTTCTGCTCATATTCTGAATTTGATTGTAAGGGATGGTTTGGATGCAATCAAGGATGCTATAAATTTGATTAGGGAGAGTGTAGTTTACTGGAATTCTACACCTAAGAGGGTTCAAACCTTCTTCGAAGTTGCTAAGCAACTTAAGTTGTCTGTTGAGAAAAAGTTAGTCCTTGATTGTCCAACTAGGTGGAATTCCACCTATCATATGCTCTCTGTTGCTATACCCTACAAGGATGTTTTCTTTCGTTTGAGTTTGAGAGACAATCATTACACATCTGTTCCTTCTGGTGAACAATGGGAATTTGCTTCTACTGTGATTGGGAAGCTGGAAATCTTTTCTGAGATTACTGAGTTGTTCTCTGGTTCCAAATATCCTACTGCCAATCTGTTCTTCCCTAAGATATGTGATCTCAGACTTAAACTGAATGAGTGGGGTCTTGATCCCAATCCTGTGATTTTTGGAATGGCTAGTCAAATGGCACTGAAGTTTGATAAGTACTGGGATGATATCCATCTTGTGCTTGCTGTATCGGTTGTTTTGGATCCTAGATATAAACTCCATGTGATTGAATACTATGCTGGAAAGTTTGGGAATACTGAAACTGGTTTGGTTGCTGAGAATATCAAGCAAATGATATGTGGTTTGATTCGTGATTATCAAACCAAAGCTGAGAAAAAATCTGGTTCTGAAACTGGAACTTCTTCTGGTTCTGGTTCTGGATCTGCCTCTGCCACTGAACTTGACTTTGAACTCTTTGTAAGTCAAAGGAAAAAGAGTAAGACTTCCTTGATTACAACTGAGTTGGATATGTATCTTGCTGAGGATATCATTCCTCGCACAGCAGAGTTTGATCTGCTCTTGTGGTGGAAATTGAATGGTTTGAAGTATCCTACCTTGCAATCAATCGCAAGGGACTTTCTGGCAATCCCTATTACTTCTGTGCCTTCTGAGAGTGCATTTAGTTCTGGTGGGAGGTTGTTAGACCCTCACCGGAGCAGGCTGCATTATTCGACT